CGTAAAGAGCCAGCTCTCCGTTCCCCCCTTCTGGGCCCAGTTAGCCGCGGCTACTGCGCGAACTAGCCACCCCACACCGCTGACACTTTCATATTGCCTCTGTTCACAAACCATCCCCCCTTTCGCTATGGTGTTTCGGAGGCATCCTGATGCCACATGGATTGTCTCTTGAAATAATATGAAAACAGAGCCACACACTCCCCTCCCACTATCACACACGCTTTCCCTGCGTGGCGATGTTGAATTTATGTTGTTCCCTAGTATAGTGTCAGGCGATTTGGCCGATTCCCTTCGCTCTTGACTTTGTGCATCCATTGTTGAGGTGTGTACATCGTTGATCCTCTACTATTTTGCTTAAAAGTACCGTACTGCCTTGATAATTGTTATCATTGGGTTTGACGTACGCGTGACTACTGTATACAGAGTGAGAGAAGTCAAGAAAGATGAAACACGATGCGGTTTGTATGACCAATTTACAGGCTTAGTACATTTCTCGGTGAAATTCTATTTTGGTCCCAGAAACTGTTTAAGTAATCTAATGTTTTCGCAACAAAGTGGCGCGCCATTAAATAGACGCAAAAATTTACTTACATTTCTTACTTACTCAGAGTTTATTGGGTGTGCCAACTTCGGGCATTTTTACTTACTTACTTATACTTTATAGTTTATTGGGTTTCTTGATATCCCTAAAAATTTGGTGGTTAGGAGGTCGTCTACTTCAAGTTTTCTGAGGTCCAACTTGCCGTTCTGGAGTTAGATTAGTATAGTTCGCGGTGCGGAGCGCCGCGCAAACCTTCAATTTACGTGCTTTTTTATTCAGTATTTGATTTATTTAAGTTCAGTTTTCCGTTTAGTGTTCAGTTCATTATTGTGTTCACTATTTTTATTTATTATATATAAGATGAGTCAGTTTAGCTTACGTTAATTTACGGCTTTTACTTGGTTGATTTTGGGGGACACACGACAAGATGGCGTGAGAATGGACGTGGCCTGGACATTGACCAATCACATGTGCCAACCCCCTTCCACCACCATTTACGCGTAGCCAACGCTTGTTGTTCTCTCACTTTCTCTGACGATGGCTTCTCATGCGGATTCGAAAGCTCAGAAGAATAAAATTACCCTTTCAGAGATCGCGTCTTCTTCTTTACAACAAGAACCCGGGGCGCGTATATTTCTTTCTATTTCCCAATATTTGCATAATTGTGAATTTTTTATTTTGGCACGATTTTTGTTTACAAACATTATTTAATTATTCCTGGATTTTCTTGTCTTATAAAATTAATTTTAATTATATTTTCCTTTCCTTGTATTGCCCAGACTCCATACTCCTTTTTTAATCCGATTCTGCATTACAGAAGAATAGGGCTTTCGCGTGCTGATCTGGGATTCTACGTATGATTCTACCGTTTTATGTTTGAATCGGGTCGATTCCGCGCGCACTCCCAATGCAGCAGTTATGAAGACGAATGAATGTTTCAGGACTCACTGACTTTTTGCAGGTTCTCTTCACTGTCAAATTCACCAAACATTTGGAAGAAATTCCTCCTCAGGATATTTGTGAGAAGGCTCATCGGGCTATGCGGGTCCTCTTTGCCACCGGGTCGATAGATGACAGTGACAAAGACCACACTGTACATCAGCCAGAAGAGGAAGAGAATGAGCAGGAAAGGTAGCATATCTTTTTTAAGCTGAAAAGCGGGAAAAAGGGAAATAAAAAACAGGATTAGACAACCGGCCACTTTATGACAGGTAAATATGGGTTCAGGTGCTTTGGCAGCTTACTAGGTGGCACATTATGCATATTTTACATGGACTTCGGTTATTTCTAAGTTAGGAACTAATACTCTGTAGTGACTAGCTGCACGCGAAGTGCATCCTGAAGGCTTGTCGTAACTAGGTCAAGTTGAAATGCATTTTGAGGACGCTTGCTGCTTCCGACCCCTGGAACAGCCAATCACAGGCCGACTCACACAGGACCACATGTGACGACTTCCGAGCTGCTATCACGCCGTCCGCTGGCTTGCGATTGTG